CCCATTCTCATTTAATCGGATTCCACAAATCTGATCACCATTTAAAGGACATCAATCTATAATCAGTGCTTTTCTATTTGGTGAATAGTGATTAAATTTTAGTAGTAAGGTTTAGATGTTAGTGAAGAAACAATAAGGAGGCAGGATCTATTCCCAAAACCACAGACTAGTGATATACTAATGGGCTAAAAAGAAAAAAAAAGGCTAATACCAGGCAGTGCATGGCGTCTCATTTCAGTTATTGTTTATAGTTAGATATCTTGGAAACAGTTCAGCTTTTAGTCTGTAACTTATTCTGCTATTTCTGTAGGTCAGGAAATCTGGTTGATGGGAATCCTGGAGCAGCAAGTGGGGATGAAACAGTAAGCTCAAGAAAGTTTAGATGTTCTTCTGTTCTCTATTATAGAATATACCTGGGTGTCTTTGCGTACTGCTTACATATCTTTCTTGAGCTTCACTGCATATAGTCCATGACAGGTACCTTATCATTCACTTTCTTGGTGCAAGAATTGGCTTGGATCAAAAGTTAACATAACAAGAGCACCTCAGGTATTTCTGTTCATTCTGGTAGTTTTTTTTGAAATAAACATTCTAGTAGATTATTTTTGTTTGTAGTGTGAACTTTATAGCTGACCATTTGCAGATGTTGTTTCAAGCCTCTTATTTGATGAATCAATTGACTGAAGATACCCACGGCAACATGACTCATGATGCATGTTGTTGGATGTATTTAGCGCATAATATATCCATGTAGTTGACAGTCATGAAATACTGATTCAAGGTGCAAAAGAGTAATATATTGCTGGAGTACATTTAAGGATAATAATTTTTAACCGAAGGATTTCATTTGTTATCAACTCTCGTCATTTTGTTATTAATTTCTGATTTGAATTCAGTTTTTTCTTCCAGCATATTCCTTGTCAAGTTTAGACAATAATTATTTGGTATCATCTGGAATCAGTTCTTGATATGCAACCATCTAGAGAAAAGTGCTGAGCGAGAGATTCTTCCCTTTTAAGAAATCAATGTACAAATATTTAATTGACATTATTAGATGACCAATTTTTCAACCTGAAATTTCCTTTGCCAGAAGCAAACGTTTTTCTTTTCCCAATCAATAACATGTCACAAAGTACTGTTTATGTATTTGTTTATTTGATTTGGTCAATAGAAGTGCATACTAGAGTGTTCTTCAATGCAATAAGTACAGTGCAGGCTTTGGATTAAGGTTAGGACCCCCCAAGTTATAGTTCTGGTTTTCTTGGTTTGATCTTTTTCTTTCTCTGTTAATTTTCATACTTTAAGAAGAAAGTATTTATCCTTGGACAAAAACCCCCTAGAAAGTGATTAAAGAGTTAGATCCCTCTCAAACGACTCGTAGAAATTGATTAGGAAAATCTATTTATTTGATTCACGGTTACTCCATTCTACTTCTCATCTATACTGAAATAAAAAAAAAATCGCTAATATATTTCTTTCTCAAGTATCTGAACATGCTTTGACTTATAGGATCTCTTATTTCACTTATATGAGTTAGTTTCATATGGCATTTCTTTCAGTTGAAGTTGTATTTGAATATCAGCAAGCACAAACTTGTTGTACTGTTTTTACCATCCCACTTCTGAAAGTATAAGCATTTGCACTTATTTTCTTAACTTTTAAAGGGATGGGTACCGTTTTGACATCTTTAATGTAAAATCGGAATGCATGTCTCTTTACCAGGATAATGAGTTATTCATGACCTTTTGGATACCATAATTGACTCTTCTAGAACTTGCAGTCAGAGCATGACGGGTCTGATGTACAACTAGAATTGAGTGTTGAACATCAGCATGGAGTAGACATATTTCCTAACATGACGAGATCTCCCAGGCTTAAGTACATAACCTATTATGAAGACTCTGAAAGTATACCAGGGAAGAGGACAGCAGTCTGGGAGCTTGATAAAGGTGGGTGAAAATGTCCTTTGGACACTATGGGGTTTTCATTAGTTGCAGGAAGCCTGAACTAGGCAAACATATTGGGTATACAATACAACTAATTATTAATCTGCTTTCGCTATTTGGAGCGCCTTTTTTTTTGGCAATTTGATGTTTGAATGACAGATTAAAATTTCTTTCTTTTATTATTCCAAATTTTCTTCCTTAAAGGATATGGAGTTTCTCTGAATGATTTTCTTCTTCCAGATTGAAATGCTATTTGCTTTGACTTCCAACTAAACTTGCATAAGAATACCAGTTTCATGCTATTGACACTATCTTCATGTAGCAAATCACAGGAACATTGTTAGATCTCCAGTTCTAATGCGAGAGTTATGGCTCCAAATGTGGCATGATATCCATCCGGATGCGAAGTCAAGATTTGTTACAAAAGGTGAGGTTTATATGTATTTGATTTTCCCTCTAGGCCTGCCTTCATTAATATTTATGGACAAATCATGTATCACAACTAATGAATAAATGTTGTGTCGTAGCTAAGCGTGGACCTTTGAGGAATGAAGACTGCTATTGGGATTACGGGAAAGCTCGATGTGCATGGCCAGATTATTGTGAATACAGGTTTCAATTTTTATTCAAGAAATTTATAGTTTGAATAGAGTGCATAAGACTTCTTTTTCACAATTTTGGGGAAAGAGAAAAATGTATTAATTCCCGATGTATGCTATGCAGGTATCTCTTTGGGGATGTTCACCTAGGACAGAGTTGTAGGCTTAAGAATTCATCAGCTGATATGCTGTTAAATTATGTGTAGATTCGAAGGTAATGATTCTTCATTCTTCTCCAATCAACTAAAACTGGCATTGAGAACTGAATGCATCACATCAAATGGTAGAACTGGAAAACAAAATGAAATATTTGCAACCTTGTAGATTTGCTGCATGATTTTTGAATTTTTGCTTCCTTTTTGGAGGCTCTACTTTATGGTAACACTAACACTAACCTATTACCTGGTTTTGACTTGGGTAAAATTATTAGACCTATTTGACATTTTATACAGAGAATGTTCTGTTTCCATAGAGGCACTTTCTTGCTACCTTTTTGTGAGGCTCTAGACCCAAGTATCACCAACCTTGCAACTCTCTGGGTCCAAGCTCTAGTATACCTGCTATTCTTTGTACTAAACTACTAGTTATTGAAATTTTAAGCCAATTTGTTAATAATGATCAAACTCTGATATAAATATCCCAAGTCAAATTCTTGATATGTTGTCAAGGTCATTCATTCATAACAAATCATGGTTAAACCCCTTGCAAAGTACTAGGTCACATGAATGCAGGTACAGTAGCCCAACATATGTTCTGAAACTATTTGTAACACTTGGATCCAAGCATCACCAGGCTAGTGTTAGCAACTCTCCGGACCAAAATATCAATAGTGTAACGACTCTCCAGACCCAAAATAGTAGCTTGGAAAATATTAGGCTCAAACCATTTATCATCAAAAGTTGGAAAGTATACTGCTAGTTTCCTAACTGCAATTTTGATGTCTAATTTCAAGCAACTCTTCTGGTATTTAGGTTGTGCTCCATTTTTCTCTAAGATCTATATATGGTCCTTTCTTTTGAAGGTACAGAAGGAATTAACTGAAAGGTTACGGGTATCATATATTTATTTATTTTGAAAGCCATGTAGAGAGCAACAATTCAATTCGTGGGACCACATATGTAATTAGATACATCCTTCTCATTTAGAATCACTTTTTCCTGAGTACTGTACTAATTTGAATGTCAAGCATTACATTTCAACCATGTTCCATATCTCTAATTGGAGAGTTTTCTATTTGGTAGTCCAAGAGATCAGATTTTCAAATAATGCTCCACCTTTTGTGGCCTTAGGCTCCAGCTCGTTATAATCTTCCAGTACCTTTGGTTGCTGCACCTAGAGGCACGAATTATATATCTATAAAAGGTGAAGTAAATTTGATACTCCTCTCTCTGCTGGAATTCTAAGTTGACATGGTGAGGCTCTCTGATCCCTCTTCGAGCAGTAAGCATCATCTGAATATATTTGATTCATGATAGGCCCCAAATACCGAGACATATAATTACTTAGACTAACACGGCTTATATTGCTGGAGACTGAAGTGCAATCAATTCATTCAACCAAATAGTTGTGAATAATTTCAATCTGCAGCAGCAGCAGCATTCTGACAAGCATTTTTCCTACTGTTGTATCTTTCCGAGAGTTTAAAATCAAGTGAGGGAATGATGCCGTATTTCTCTGCTAATATTTGTACTTTAGATAGATTGAATTCTCTGTCAACACTTCATATCATGTTCTTCTACTACGGAGTGACCCTTTCTTGGACAAAAAAAACATGAACAGTGATGTTTTCCTTTTGTTTTGGTATAAAACTTCTGCAGTCAGAGAGATAGAATTGATGAATTTGAAGCTTTCTTTTAAATCTTGGAACCATTTTAGTAGAATATTTTATAAAAACTCTTGGGTTGTTCCAAACTTATTCTGCTTAGAGTTTTTTCAAAACACGCTTTATTATTTTAGATGAACTTTTATTTTTTAAATTAAGTGTAATTTCAAATTTATTTTTGAAAATCTGTACGTTGTAAATATATTATCGATTACAAAATTTATTTAAAAATATTGTTTTTTGAACTTTTTTCTAATGTGAAAACATGAAGAAAATTACCTCTTTCAAATGTGAAAAACATGAAAATTTAATTGAAACAAATTGTGAGTAAAATTGAAAAAGTGTAATTTAAATTTATTAAAAATAAAGTTTTTAATTTATATACTAGAACAAAATTTCAGAAAGTAAATTTTTAAGTAGAGTTATATTAGAAACTTCGTTTTAAATTAATTTATAAGTGTGTATCTTCTTAACTAGAAGATAAAATGCACTCAAGCAGGAATAAATAAAGATGATAACAGGGTACGTTTCAACTTAAATCTATCCCAACTTTAGATATATAAAAGCCCAAATTCAGGACAGATTTGATTTTGAATCCATATACATATTACCCTTCCCTTCCTACTAAATTAACATATTTTATATAAATACCATGATATATATATATATATGTTACTGCAGCAGATAAACAAAAGCATTTGGTTGGTGGGTTGTGGTTCTTCATCAATTTATTTCAACAATTTACTTTATGTATATGTATCTTCGCTTTAACTTCTCTCGACTTTCCATTCCACTCATTTTCTACCTAATCCCATAGTGAACCTTTCCCCTCTTCTCCTTGCTAAAGATCTGGCAGAAATGGGAGATCCCCTTGCAAAGAAAGAAGGTTTAGCTCCTTGTTAAGGAATCATCCAAGACAGCTTCCTCTGCAAACTCTTCTGCTGCACCTGTGAAGAGTGCATACAGAGAGAAGAACGGCTAGAGAAGAGACAAGTTAGGCTGCTGGTGTTGGAAGAGCTGCTGTTGTCTCGATGAAAAAGGCCAAAGATGCAACGGTGATGTAAAGAGCTGCTGGCGCTGGCTGGGGGATTGGGGCTAGCTCCATTAGGAGCAGAGGGAAGGAAGTTAAATGGAACTTTAACTTGCTTTTAAGGTTTTCTTATATATATATTGTGGGTTTTCGGCACAAATTCCAAAATTATCGATTGACAGAATAAATTTCATCATCATTCCTCATGGACAGCTACCATGTAACTATTCAAGCAAGTCAATAACTTGACTGCTCTCACTTCCTTCCTAAACGAATTATGAAAATAACATGAAATGAAAGTTACATACACGAGTCAAAACAGGAATCTACACTCAAACCAATATCCCACAGATGGTTTCCCTTCACAATCATTCATGCAGCCCAAACAGAAGAAAGAATTGGGGAACAGAACACAAACACACAAGTACAAACCTCCAGCAAAAACCAGACTAGACTAGGCTACACTAGCTACCCTTTTTTATTTCAAAGGAGTATTTGAGTTCCATATGGCATCTGCGGTCGTCATCTTCAAACTGCATCAAACCACAATCACAATCGTAATTTGGCTAACAACGAATTGCAAGATACATATAAATCAGAATTATACAAAACAGACAATCTGACTTATTGCAATGAAGCAAATAAGTGCCTGAAGATTTTCTAGGACATAAAGGACAGTTTCAAATTTATGAAGCAATAATATGAAATAATTACTCGCTATACTGCCTTTTATTCAAGGGCAAAACAGGATTTTAATTAAAATACGTTCAACCCAAATCAGAGAAAATGATGAAGTTTGAGGAACCCACCAGCTCAACATAATCCAATGAGATGGTAAGTTAATAACCCATTTCCCTTTACTTGATAACATAAATGTTTACTTGAGATAATTTAAGCTTTCTTGTTCCTTAATATTGAGTAAATAAACATTTCTAGGAAAATCTTAGTCACACGGGTTTGCACGTACCTTCAGTTTTGCTGAATAAATTCCCCTAGCTAGCATACCAGAAGGAGTTATCTCCTCATCCAAAGTATGCACGTATGGCTCTCGTTGAGGAGCAAAAGTACCCAGCATTCCCTTGCTTTGATCCACTAAAACCCAAACAATAAACAGCCACAGGTAATATTTAACTTAGAATGATGATTATTGATTCTTAAACTTCAAAACACATGACAAATTGAGGAATTGAACGAAAATTTCCGTGTATGTTAGAGTACATCAAAAGCAAGATCATCTGAAAGAATGAATCTCACAGTGCCTCTTATGGTAACCTTGTATCTGTAATCAGATTTTTTTAGGGTCTAAATTGTTAACCCTTACAATAAAATTCAACAAAACTACTCTAAATTTAAGAAATGATTATCAATTCTTTACATATTTTCTTTATAACTTCATAAATGAGTCTTCGCAAGGGATGCCTTTGATATGAATATGATTATTCTTAACAATCAGCTTTTATAGTCAACATACAGGTGATATCTTCTCTCTAAAGAAAAGATATAAGAAATATGATCCAAATTCACATGAGCACACTCGGGATCAAACTGCATTAACAAGAAATTATACGAGCATGTAAGAGAATTAGATTCAGAACCTTGGAGTCCCCCCTTCCAGACTCTGTTTGAGTAGGTTAAGCCAGAAACAATATTGTGCAAAACGGTGAATGATAACTTAAGCTGATACCGAGATCCCTCCTTGAGAACGAACAAGACACGATCACTCTGATTTCCATCAAGAGGTAATGGAGTATCCATCTCCTCAATATCATCGACTATAATTCCAATGGAGTGGAATTTGACTTCAGGTTCCATTTGGCCTAACAAACAGTGTACAAACAACAAAAAAAAAATGGACTTCGAAAATTAAGAACAGAGCTACAAAAACCAATAAAGCTGAGATAAGGAGCAAATGATTAGAGAATAAAAACCTGAAAAACAAACCATTTAAATCTCCTTCAACACAACCAAGAAGCTTCTCTTTCCACCTCCTTAAGCTCTCATCATCCTGCAAAACACAAACATTTTTACTATAACAAAAAAAAGCACAAATTTTTAGTTATAAATTTTGAATCCCAACAAAAATGTGATTAGCACACAATGAATCTTGGGATTCAAACGCAACAAAATGTAGGGGTTTTTGGGGGGTTTTCAAGAACCCCATTTCACGGAAGTACAATTTTTAGGAGGTACACAACTGAGTCTTAACCTATTAGCTACTCTACTAGAAGGAACCCATAATTTTACTTCTCTTTCCCCTTAATTACAGAAGGGGAAAAGATAAACAAATTGGAGAAAGGACAAACAAAATGCAGAGACAACGAACTTCCCCACATTTTTTGTGACGAGAAAATGGAGCGCAATGGAACTTGAAATTTCTCACGAGGTTCAAACATCATAAACCATATGAAAGAAAATATTTTTCTTTTTAACAAGTAATGATCCAGTAACGAATATATGTATATATTTTCATATATGTTTATAACAAGTGAAAGAGACGCAAAGACCTTGTCTTTCTCAATCTGTTCCTTGAGGGAAAGAAGAGGCCCAGGAACGAAACCAGAAACCACACCACCCTCCTCCTTATCTCCATCATCTTCCTCCTCCTCCTCCTCTTCTTCTTCTTCTCGATCTCTCACTTCACCCAATGGTTTCTTAACCATTTCTCTCCGCTTCTCTTCGCCGCCGCCGCCGCCAGTCGAGGGCCCTGCTTCCGTGCTCTTACCACTATCCATCTGTCTTGAGGGAGAAAAGAGGGTAAAGGGTATAAAATTGTTTTTAAAAACTTGGAACCAAAGTCGAAGATTAAGAGGATTTAGGAGCCAGCACGCACAAAAGTCATACTGAGACGAAGAAACAGGAAACTATAAATTGTTGTCTCTTTCTTTTGGTTTTTTGTCTTTAAATTTCACACTTTGCTTTGTCCGCCGTGTCGGCGTGGGACTGACACGAGAAACACTTGAACTAATTTTTTTAATAAATTAAATATTCCTTTTTAAAAAAAAAAATAAATCATGTATTTTATTTACTCCTTAATCTAATTTCTACGTGTTTTTTTAAATTTTTTTGGTATAATTACTAATTTTTATTTATTTTTTATGATATAAAAAATTAGAAAGAATTATTTTATTTAAAATTTAATATTTATTTTATCATAATTTTATTTGAAACCCATTAGTCTACTGATTTAATTTTTTATTTCTCTCTAAATAATTAATTTAATTCACGTGAGAAAATCCAGTGCTTACCCAATAAATTATTTTAAAAGGGTAAATATTAGATTAATTTTTAAGATTTTTTTAACTTATTATGATGTAATTTTTAAGATTTTTAGTTATAATTTAGCAATTAAAATTTTATATTTATTTTTAATGAAAAACTGGAACCTGTAACATAGACATTAAAAAATAACTCAATATAATAAATTTACTAATTAATTAAATTAATATATTCAAATCATTATTTTTTAATTATTTACATATTTAAAATTAAAAAAAAATAGTGACCAAATTGTAATAAAAAATTGTAATTATCTCCATCATTCGTGTGGTATATTTATTAATTAAGTGATATATATATATATAATATAATAAAATAATTTATAAATACAAACATATATAATAACACCACCAACTCAAACCCACTATATATATATATATATATATTTAAAAAAAAATAAATAAATTTACAAATCATTCAAGTATATTATTAAAGAAGATATGTTTATTACATGACAAAGTATCAATTAGTTTTTTGTCATATCACACAACTATATTGTAAAAGTTGTGAAAAGGTCTTAATTAAATATAATTATATTTACTATAATCATAAATATAAAGATTCATCTTCATGATGGGTCCACCTTAAAATATTAAAATTTTATCTTTAGACATATGATTTGGTTGTTATGTGTTAAATCATATAAATCTTATTCTAAAAATTTAAACAAACTTTTTTTTTAATTATTTATTTATATTATAATTTAATATGAGTAATCATTTCTTTAATTATTTTAAGAAAAAAAATTAGATGCCAATTATCGAGGTTATTCTGAATTTTATTTTCTTTTTTTTTTTTGGTTTCCACTTCCAGCTAACTTCAATGTGTCTGAATGTTATGTATATTATTTCTCTATAAAGAGTTACGGGTTTGAATACAAATTATATGTATAACTGCAATCACATTCATTTTCAGCAACCTGGGTTGTTGCCAGTTTTGTTTCCCTAGATAAGCCATTCATATACAAGAATATTTCTTTTATTCCTATTTCCTCTGTATTACGACATCAAAATGCAACTACATATACCTGTGGTGAGAAAAGAAAATGAAGAAGAAAGGAAAGAAAATCGCAACAGTATCTTTTCTCGGGTCCATAAAGATAAGAAAGAAAAGTTTGTATCCAGTTTTGGAGAGAGTCATCTGAAGGGCTCGATAGGTATGGATTCTTGAAGTACTGCGGCAGCCTGGAAACATTCAGCTGCCTCTTGCATGGAAGATGCAGTCCCCTCAGCTTTGTGAACGAGGGCAAGGTTATACCAAGCAGATGAATTTGTTCTGTCATATCGCAGCGCATTCATCAATAAGCTTCGGACGACAGCATTTGGTTGACAGCCAGCTTCCCTAAGAATCTCCGCTATGGCTATCAAGCTTGGAGCATGGCTGGGATCAATGTCAAGAGCCCTTGAAAAGTCTATCAGTGCTTGTTTGTGAAGGCCTTTCCTTCTGTGGAGTTCACCTGCAGAAATCAGACAATTTTCTCATCTTTTCCCTCAATGATTCTAGTTTTCAGATAAAACAAACAGAAAATCATATGATTACTAATGGTGCTTCTGATCATATATGCACATTCTTTAACCAATGTTGAAGTCCCTTTGAAGTATTTCACAGCTTTAATTTGAAACTAAAAGTAAATAAGAAAGAAAGGGAAAACAGAAGAGGAAACACGGCCTCATCTGAAAAGACAATCAGGAGAAAGAAAAATTTACCAGTGGCATGCAATCTAGCTGCTGAGTTAGGGCTGATGGCTGCGGATCTGGAAAGACAGGCCTCAGCATCTCCCCACTGTGACAAACTTATGTAGACATAAGCAAGATCATGCCATACTTCCAACTCCAAACTTCTATACGGCTTTGCATGGCTCTGTTAGAATTTCGACGAAACAAAACTAAGTTTCTGCAAGAATTGCTCCCATAAAATAACTATTTCTTGATGTTGCATCAAAAGAGAAGAATTGTTTCACAAGTTAATCCGACTATTCCTTCTCCAATGGAGAAGACGATTATATAGACATTTATGTTTCCCGACTTTGGCCCCCTCTTTACCCTATACAATATATCATATGGCAAAAAGACTCACATATATCTTATATTATGCACTATGTGATGAATAAATTTCTCAATAAACTTAAGAACCCTGTAAACTATTTTTGTAAGAAATTTATTATAAATAATAATCACTACGGTAAGCACTAGAAACCTTAATAACCAACAGACCTTATGAAGCTTCTTTTGAGAACCATAGCCTTTACTCTGAACTTGAAGAATAGCAAGAAGTTGAGTATATGTCTCGATGGCACGCTTTAGTTGACCCTGTGCAATCTGCAGCTTAGCCTTGGTACGCAGCAATTCTCCTTGGTCCCATTTCCCTGTCTGATCCAGAGCAGCACTAATAATAGTTTCAGCACCTGCAAATTGCTTCTGGGCTGATAATATACGGGCCAGCAGTAACCATCCTCTAACATTAGATCCACCTTCTAGCTTCAGCATAGATGTTGCATAATACAGAGCAGCATCCAACTTCCTCTGCTCTGCATTTTCCAGGCTGAGGTGGTAAAGAACAACAGGGTCCTTCATTTCAGTGATTCTCCCAGCTTTCTCTAGGGCCTGAAGTGCCTTAGATTGCCTTGTAAACCTCTCAGAATCACTGATGGCTGATTTAGAATGCGCTGCAAACAACAAACCAAGTAAACAATTGGCAGTACTTTCTACCAGATGACATCCAGCTTCCAAGTTTTCAAGGATTGTGGAAGCATATCTTAACCCCTCTTTTGCAAGATGAGGGTGTTCACAACAAATTTTTGATGCCATTAATAAAGCTGGAAGACAATTTGGATCCTCCCTACTACTCAGCAACTTCCTAAACAGATCCAAAGCAACCAAATCTTCTCCTGCACCATAATAACAGAGAGCCAGTAAATGATATCTTTCTTTCCGATTTATAATACCAGGAGGCAACTCTTCCACTTGTTTAGCCAAAGCCCGTAAATCTCCTGCTATGGATAGAGCAAATGAAAGGTGGTCCAATATTGACGGATCCCATTCAATTCTTTTAATACAAACTTTTCGCAGCAGTATCATTAAGAGCAGAATTGCTTCTTCTATATTGTTTCTGGGTACGAATGAACTATCCATTTGGGAGCGGAGGGTTGGAGAGCTTGCCTCACATCCGGAATATAAAAGAAAAATGGAAAAATCCAGTTGAATCTTTGCAGTAGTTTCTGCATCAAGGTTCCAATGGTTGAGAAGCGCCTTTCGGTACGACAAGATGGCTTCCTGTGGACAATCAGCATGTTTCCACAATTCTGGAAGCAACTCTACAGCCTTGGTTATAATCTCTTGCAACTTTAGGTCCGCACTAAAATTTTCGGGAAAGCCTTCTGGTAATGAACATTCAACTATATCCAGAATAACTTTGCAAGCTTGAGCAGCTTCTGGAATAATTGTAAAAAACAAAATATCAGCCATGTGAATATGGTTTTATTCATGCTTTTCAAAATGTCCTATTTTTCCTTCTGTGTGAATTCTAATGTGAGAGAGAGAGAGAGAGAGGAGCATGATGAAGAACCAACTTAATCCAATCTATCCTTGATCCTTGAAGAGCAAGAGAAGTTAACATTTCTAGCAAGAAAGAGAAATGGACATTTCCTCAGAGACTCCAGTGTTTGGTGTTTTCACACAGTGTTGTTTGCATGTTTAAGAATCATGTTTCTTTAAAAACAGATTCTCCTCTTTAAAGAAACCTTTAAGAGTATAAGCTAGCATTTCCCTTCTAACAAATTTTCACAATACTAGAAAATACTCCGTAAGTACTTTTTTTTAGAGAAACTACCCAAATACATGATGCAGAGAAACCCTGCTTGTCCTACATCAGCACAATTATTAATAGATGTGAAAAAACATTATGCTATAACGACTGAAGAGGCATATCATTACCTTGATACAATATCAGCCCCTACAACGTGAAATTTGATAAAAACAAATAATTAAAAAAATTTCAGTTCTAGTCTTTATATTCTCTTGAAACACAATGATACAATGTTTTTGTTCCTAATCTTGTTCCTAGTTGCAATCTTCTTTAATTCTCTCCCTCTCTCCCTCCCTTCCTTATGGGGTTCCGTGAAACTATTCTCGGACATGACTCAACTCTAATTTTTGTGATAGAATTGACTGACACTCATCAAGAGAAACCTATTGATTCTTCGCCATCGATGTCAATTTTGGAAGGCATTCCTCGATAATAAGTTACGATAGATGCCATATATTGCATGACTTGCATAATATGGAAAATAATCTGTTTGCTGCCATTTTTAAATTAAATTCCAATACGAATATTTACCAAGTCACTTCAAACCCTAGATTTTACCATAAATCCTTTTTACAATATTATCTAAAATGAAACTGATATTATACAAATAGATATATCTAAGATATTGACATTCAAGAAGCCCAGTGGCAAAACAATTCCAAAGATGTCTAACAGAAAATTTACTGTTTCCAAGTTACAAACTTGTGATTTCTTTCCTTTTTTCCTCCTATCCAAGTGCATGATGAACTTTCTAGGTAAACCACCAGCCAAAATCCAAATACACCAAAAGCTAAACAAATTCAAAAGCCTCCAACAGAATATTACTGCTTTCCAACTTTAATAACTGTCCTTCCTTTTTTCTACTCTTTTCTTCCCTCCAAAAGACTTGAGTACACAAAGATACTGTAGATGTAAATTGATAGACAAAATCCAAAGATAAGAAATCTGTTCAGAAATGACCACAAAAATGAATTTTAAATGAAATGATCTAATAAAGAAAGAAATTGAAGACTGTTTTTCTGATGGATGAATAGAGTTTTTGCTTTTCTTCTTTCTCTTCCCAAGTATTCTATTTAAGCATATGTTTAGATTATGTAGTGGTATCCCAGCATGATTAAGTATCAGAGAGGGGAATGAGATGAGAAAAGCAATAGTGGCACGTGCCCA